TTTTTTTTTTTTTTTTGCCACTGGGGATTGCTTAGCCACTGAGCTAAATCCCTACCCTTTTGGTTTTTGAGACAGGGTCTCCCTAAACTGCTTAGGGCCTCGCTAAATTGCTGAAGCTGGCCTCAAGCTTGCATTCCTCCTGCCTCAGCCTCCTGTGTCACTGGGATTACAGCCTGCACCACCATACCCAGAAGTACATTTCTTTTGATAGAAACCCATCTGATGACTTGAAGCAAGAACTATGCTTTTGAAATCTGTTCCTACAGACATCAGAATTTGCCTGTTAAGCCAATTGTCAAGTTAACAAACATATAATTGTACTAAATCAGCTTCTACTTTTGGAAATATAGGCCATGTTGTAATCAAAACTTCTCTCAGGAGCTCTGAAATATAATTAGCACTTTTCACTTTCATAACAAAAGTCTCCCAAACAAATACTCTAGGTCTCTACTCCTCTTAGTACCTATTCCAAACAAATTAGCCCCAGACAACACCAAAGACAAGGCCAAATTTTCCTGTCAACTAGTTCAAGAAGAACTCCAAACTGATTTCAAGGAGACTCCAAATTGGCTATGGCTTTTTAGCCATGGCTGGGCACAGTGGCACACACCTGTAATCCCAGCAGCTCGGGAGACTGAGGCAGGAGTTCAAAGCCAGCCTTAGCAATTTTATAAGGCCCTGTATCTAAATAAAATATTAAAAAGGGGCTGAAGATGTGGCTCAGTAATTAAGCGCCCAGTTCAATTCCTAGTACAAAAAAAAAAAAGTGGCAAACATCTGTTGGGACTATAGTCCCTTCATGGTCGTTATTCTGTTACCAGAAGCCTAACCCAAGGACCCTACCTGGGTCCTGGCTGATTGAATTTGGCCACCGACCTGCATGCAAAATAGGCAAAAGATGGAAAAATAAATAGCAATCTTAATGCAGTTTGATTAAACTGGGGAGAAGCCATCTAGCTGCTTCTGCCCACCAGCCCCCAGAAAAAGGTAGGATTTAGAGACAAAAGCAGGAGATGTACAGATGTAGCTGTAGGTATCTAGCCTGCATTACGCAGGTGTGTGGACAGTCTCCTTTGGTGCCTGGAGGGAGAGGGGACAGTCTTTCAGCTTTCTTTCTCAGCAGGAGGAATGTGTTCCCAATTCACAGCAGGGGCCCAAATTCAGTCTGTTTCAGATCTCACTAATTTGCCCAGGCTGGCTGCATACTTGAATCCTCCTGCCTCTACTTTCTATTTCAGGGAATATTCAATGAGATTCAGATCTCCCAGGCTGGAATGCTTCAAGCAGTGTCAGGGCTGGGTGTGTTGGGTGGGGGTGGGGCAGGCGTGGCAATAAGAGGACGCACTTGCCCTCAGGGCAGTTAGACACCCTGCTTACCTCACCAGAGACCCTCCCAGCCTGACCTCAGGAGAACTGAGGAGCCTAGTTCTCTGGCAAGCACGGAGGGATAGAGTTCCATAGACTCAGAACTCAGGAGTTCCTGCCTGGCTCCAACAAGGCCAGCAGCCACCAGGCAAAATGCTATGCAAATCAACCTTTGAGCTTTGCATCCGGTTGGGGGTGGAGTGGGGAGGGGAGGCCATGGATGGAGCACCTGAAGCTAGACTTCAGGAAGAGGACATGGGTGGGTGCTGTACCCACTGCACAAAGAGAAGCTTGCGGCTCTGATGGGAAGGAAAGATGTGGAGACAGGTGTTCAAGGGGAGGGGAGGAAGAGGAATGAGGGACAGTGCCAAGCAGGCAGAGGATCCAGAATTCTCATAGTATTAGATATGGAAAACATCAAACCTCCAACCAGTGTGGCCTGGGAAGAGGGCAACATACATCCTTTCCCAATATGCTCTTTCCCAGTTACTAGACAAGCCCTGGGAGGAGATATCCATCAAGCCTAGAATCACAGTCTCTGGGAGGAGGCCAAAGCATTGATCCTTCCCAAGATAAACCCTTTCCCTCGGATACTTACCACTGACCCCAGAACCTCCATCTGGCCTATTAAAAAGAGTTCGCAAACTGAGTGCCCAACTGATATGCTCATTAATCAAATCACCTCTCAGTGTAACCTATATAAGCACAGACTCCCCCTTTAGTTGGTGGCTCATTTTCCACCAGGAAAGTGGGTCCATCAGAGGCATGAATCCACCACTGAATAAAGGCTCTGCTGATCCAAGAAGTCCTTTTGTGGGAACACGCAGCAGGCTGATTCTGCCTTTTGTTCCAGCCACTCAAAGTGGTTCATCCTGACCTCTTTCCAAACCAACCTAAGAAGCAGAAAGACGCTCTCTTCTGAAAGGATGTCCCATTTGGGGCTCATTTCATCAAGAGTCATGGCCTGTGGGCCATATTGGGGACTGGATTAGGCTAAAACAGAGAGGGAAGAGCTATGTTGTCCTGCCCAACTCTCTGATCCAAGGTGCTGGGGAGTAATGTGGCAAGGATGGGGCAGACACTGACTCTCAAGCCTCTCTTCCTAAAGGAAGTGTCCCTCTGTATCCCGCCCCCAGCCACCTCAATACATAGAAAGATGGACCTGGAGAATGAGCCCAGGATCTCCAGGGTTTTCTGGGTGCTCTTAGATGTCCTACTGAAGTGGCACCCCCTTTCTCCACAGAAAAGCCCGTTTCACCATGCTGATTTTAGGACTGTCAGCAAAAGAGTCTCTGAGAAAGAGTTCAATGTAGATAAACTTCCTATTTTCATGTAGCCCTGTTTACTTGGCCACTGGCAGAGAAGATACCAGCACTCCAGATGCTGGACACTCCCTCACTAGTTTTTCACAAACATATCCAGTATAGTACTTTGTAGAACTGTGCAAACAAGGCCTCTGGCCTTGAGCTGGGCTTCACAGAGATGTCTACATTTTTAAGATAAGTTACAAATGGGCTCTGTGGTAATAGCTGGCAGGGGGATTAATTGATTACAGCAAAAGCTGTGCCCTCTGAACCTGGCTGCAGCCAAATAAAACTGTTTCCTGCTATCTTCAGTACCTTGCCTCCTTTGTCACTACAACACTACCTCCACCATCAGATTTTGTCACCCCAATCAGAAGTAATCTCATGGAATGTGTCCCCATCAACCAGACTAAGGCTCAGAGATGGATCTGTCCCTCAGTGGACTCTCATTGCCTTACCTGGGATCCCTTAGAATACCTTGTGGAAAAATCCCTTCATACCTTCCACCCAGTCTCCTCAGCCACAGCTTCCCTTTGAGTTCTCAGAATACCACAGAAGAAGGGGGACTCCAGTGAGGAGGCCAGGCGGCCCTGATAGTGTAACAGTGGTTCACTTTATGCTTTGACTATCTCTTGTTACTCTAAAACTGACATTTTTCCCCCGATTTTCCCAACCTTCTCCTCCTTGACATTCTTCTCCCTGATTTTCTCCTCCCAATCTCTCCTTCCTAATCTCAGGAGATGGGATTTCTGAATCACCTCTTTAAAAAAACAAAACAAAAACAAAAAACCCCCCTGCTCCCTTGATGAGAAGAATCACAGACTCTGGGACAGGAGGCCCCTGTTTCTCTTTTGCTAGGAAAGCAGTAAAACTTTTTTTTTTTTTTTTTTCCTTTTTCTCAAAATCTTGTCTTTGTTATTGCATTGGCATCAGGGACAAGGACAGAGTTTCAGCAACAAAAGAAGTCGGGCCGCTGTGGCCGGGTGGGGGTGGGGGTGGTCTAGGGAGCCTGCGCCAGCCTTGATATGGGTGTGTATGTGGTGTTGCCCAGTTAAGCACGACGGACCCCCTCCTGGGGCTGCAGTGACATGTTCAAAGTGCAAGACCTCTTCCTTCAGGATGTGTTGGGGGGGGGGGGCGGGAATTAAGCTGAAGTCATTCCTTGGAGGGAGTGGGGGAAGCCAACTTCTCTTAACAAAAATATCATAGAAAACAAGCCCAGAGCTGATCTGTAGGGTACGGCAAGCACGACATTCAGCAATTGGCCCGAGTTTCAGAAGGCAGAGTGTTTGCAGATTGGCTGACTTTCAGCCTTGGAGTTTAGGGATTGGCTGACTTTCAGAAGTGGAATCACTGGAGTAAGACGGTTGCTGACTGGCTGGCTCTCAGAAGCGTGGTCATTGGAATGAAGCCCTTGTGTAATGTTGTCAGTGATTGATTGGGCCAGGTTTAAATTTGGTCTGTATGACTTGTTCATGGCTTGGAACTGGTTCTCGAAACAGTCTTTCCCCCTCTTTTTAAAATTTAGAGAATAGAAATATTTTGTTTTCTCCTCCCCCACACACAGTTGACTTCTCTCCTCTTGGACCAGGGAGGCACTAGTCATCTGTACCCAAATTCCAGAATCAGCTCAGGACTGGTCACTCATTCCTTCAACACCTCTTTCTGAGAACAGCACTCTAGAAGGCAGACCAGGGCCCTTCCCTTCAGGTGCTGGACACATTCTCCAGGGGATAATTGAGCCCAGAGGTGGGCACCCAGAGAGTGTTCTAGAAGTATTTATTGGGGGTGATGGCTCATTAGACTTCTACCTCCTGGTGGCTGTAGGTCTGACTTCCCTAGCAGCTGGTCAGATGGGGTTCCGAGCCTGCTGGATGAGGGAGGAGAGAACTGAGAGGCTTTGGGCCACTCAGTGGTAGAAATTCAGAGAACAGCCTGAAGGACCTGTTGCACACTTGGATCAATCACTGGCCCTGAACAAGCTTCTGGACTGGGCTGGGGACCCATAGCCAAGGAGGTGGCTGCTATTAAAGACAGCAAAAGAAGGTGCTTCTGTGAAGTCTCTTTCTAGTGCAAAGAGCCAGGTGACATCTTTGACTTATTCTCCCTGTGTTATTGATGGGCTTTGCTTTATTCCAAAGAGGACTGGAACATGAGCATCATGAAGACTGGAAACTTGTTTGTCGTCTTCACCATCTGTATGGATGGGTGCTTCTGTATGGATGGGTGGATGGCTAGTGGATGATGGCTGAATGGTGAACTTGGCAGAACTGGTATAGGCCATACCCTTTCATATATACATAGGCATATACACACACATACATATACATATAGTTTTAGATGGGCACAATGCCTTTATTTTATTTATTTACATGGTGCTGAGGATCAAACCCAGTGTCTCACACATGCTAGGCAAGTGCTCTTCCACTGAGCCACAACCCCAGCCCTGTACCCTTCCTTTGCCGACCCCTCTAGAATCCAGGCTCAGAGTACCCACCCCCACTCCAATACACACATAAAGGTGTGGACCGAACACAGCTCACCAGCTCCTCACTTCTGGATCCAGAGTGAGCCCCCTGTGATCCACTAGGGTCCAAGTCCTCTTTGATTGTTAGGGCTTCTGAAGTAGTCAGCTTTAACTTCTAGAATATGGGGTATACCTTTGAGAAAAACAAAATATATTAATTTGGGTCATAGGTCAGAAAAACAAATTTATATTTGTCTATGGCCTGAGTTGGTTTTGGCCTTTGGCCACTAGTCAGGAGAGCAAGAGGGATGGGGAGGGTCGTCTTGGCCCTAAAGCAAGAAAAATGGGTTGAAGCCTAGTCTGGCCAGAATCCTGAAGGGAACTGCACCAGGTCTTCCCCCATCTGGACCGTTTATTTCAGGACATATTTAACTGAGACCCTGCTTTGTGCTAAGTACAGTATAGAGTTCTTGGCATAAAGTTAGTTAGAAGAGATCGAAATAAAACACACAGACTCAGTTACCTTATTTCTATTGCCAGGTCCGAGACGGCTCCCCTCTCTGGCTCCAACCTCTAACCGCCCAGCAGGGCAGCAAGGATTACTCAGGGCTAGCAGGAGAGAGAGAGTGAACACGCCAGGGAGTAGCCTTTTATTGGGGAACAAGAAATTCAGGGGATAATTCCATCCAATGAAGGTTGAGGGAGGACTGCACTCCAAGCTCAGGGTCAGTGATTGGGCCCCCGGGGTCAGTGGTCAGTCACACCCCCACACGGACGGGTTCTCTCATCAGGAAAGGGCCGGGAAAATTCCGACACAGCCAGAAGCCTCAGACCCTTAACGGGAGTCGCCCAGTCACGTGTCAGGATGGCTTCCCACAGTATAGGACATAAGTAGACTCTGCCCCAGCCCTGAAGGGACTCAGTGTCTGGTGGGAGACAGATAAGTGAGTAAAGGTACACTCTTTTGTTTTGTTCCTCTTCAGCCCTTTTTATTTTTTTATTTTGAGCGAGGTTGTCACTAAGTTGCTGAGGCTGGCTTTCAACTCACCATCCTCCTGCTTCAGCTTCCCGAGCTGCTGGAATTACAGGCGTGCACCACCACAGCTGGCTGAGATACACAGTTCAGAGTAATCAAGGCTGTTAAGAAAGGGTAAAGTGTTACCGTTTTGGTGTTCTTGTTTTTTTGTACCAGGGATTGAACCCAGGGGTGCTTCACCACTGAGACATATTTCCAGCCCTGTTTTATGTCTTATTTAGAAATAGGGTCTTGCTGAGTTGCTTGGGGCCTCACTAAATTGCTGAGGCTGGCTTTGAACTCGTGATCTTTCTGCCCAGCCTCCCGAGCCACAAAAACACCAAAACCATACCACTTTAGCCTAAAAAGCTGAGCCTGGAGGGCCTGGGCTTGACCTTCAGCCAGGAGCCCTTCTGAGTCCTCATGGAGCTCATTATCTTTTCAGCTCCCTGCCAGGGATCTCCCTATCAGCTGCGCCACCTTGCCTGGCCTTTTGGTGTTGTTTTTAAACAAAGGTAAGGTGGCTGCTTGCTTTCCCTCTTTCTCTTCCTCCCTCCCTTCCCTTCTCTGCCCTTCCCTTCCCCTTCTCCTTCCTTCTTCCTTCTTTTCTTTCTGTAAGGTCCTTGCTTAGCATTTGGACTGCCATCTTAAGGGACAGCCACCATTTTAAGGAAAAAGTTTCGCTTTCCCCCCCAAGGGCGTTTCTGAGAAAGGCTCACCACTCCCTCATCCCAACCCAACCTCTAACCGCCTGCATTAGGACCCGCCCAGCTCTGATTGCTGAGCCGGCTCCATAAAAGTCCCAGAACCCAAGCCTGCTTTGCCTCTCTCCACTATAGAGAGATGGCCTTTATTTGTCAGCTCTGCGGTGTATCTCTGCCTGGTCTCAGTCTTTCATTTCTCATTTACCTGTCTCTCATTCCTTGCTTTCCCTTCTCTCCCTCCCTCCCTTCCTTTATTTCTTTTTCTCCTGAACCCAGGCACTCTACCACTGAGCTACACCCCCAGCCCTTTTACTTATTTTTAAAATTTGAAACAGGGTCTCACTGAGTAGCTCAAACTGGCCTCAATCCTGCAATTTTCTTGCTTCAGCCTCCTGAGTCGCTGGAATTACAGGTGTGCGCCGCCACATATTTTTGGGGTGGGCACTGGCTGAATCCAGCCAGCTGGGGTCCAGGCGGTTCCCTGGTCTAGGCTGCCAGTAACAGGAGCACCTGGGCGTGGCTTCAGATGGCATGCCCGTGGCCCTCAGCAACCGACTGACTTTCTGTGAGCCTCAGTGTTCTCATCTGGGCCTTGAAGATGGTGAGCCCAGTGGGGCAGGACTAGGTGAGGATCAAGAGAAGATGGCTGTAAAGGGCTCAATCAGTACTGCCCTGAACTGTGGCCCTGCGCTGTAAGAGGACCTCATTCTGGTCCTCTTCTGCCTGTTCTCTGTCCCACTGGGACAAACAGTGAGGGCTTCTAAGGTTCCTGACTTCATAGTTTGGGGGCAGTTTAACCTGGGTCTCCTGCCTGTCTCTATAGACTCTCCAAGGGACTAGGCCGCCTCTTCTAAACCTCTTCCCTGTGGCCCCTTCTGGGGGAAGAAGCTAAAGGTGGACAAAGGTCAGATTTGAGCCAGACCAGATGGTCCTACAGGAAGTGGGGAAGGTGCCTGCCTTTGGGTCTATTCTCCCCACAGAGAAAAGGGTCAAGGTTCTGGGAGTGGAGGAAACTGAGGGCCTCAATCAGGCTGGAGGACACCCCCACTCTGGGACCTTTGGAAGGAGGAAATCTTCCCAGAGGGGAGGAGAGTTAGCCCTCCAGTCCTTAAAAGGAGAGGACCTGAGACAGCTGTGGCTGGTAGTGAGCCACAGGCTGGGAGGGAGAACTTATCCTGTCCCCAGCCTCAGACCAGAGCCCCCCCCAGGGGACTCCAGGGGCCTCTGCAGGGCTAGAGCTGGGTTTCGGTTTCTGCAGGGGAGGGGCTGCAGAGGTACCAGCCCAGGAAGGCTAGAGGGAGGACTGGGTGGGGGTATGGAGCAGGAAAAATGTGGGTCAAGGGTGGAGGGCGGTGTCTCAGGCACCCTGAGAAGGTCCAGGCTGTGAGAGAGTCCCCTCTGTGGGACGAGTTAGTTATCCAAGGGCGCAGTCTCACCCTGTGTGTCCATCTCAGCCCACAGATTGCTTCTGCTCCTACCCTGGCAGCTTTGGGACTGAAAGGGCAAATTTCCTGAGTTGTATGAGCTTTTTGCAGGCAGTAGGGACTCCGTCTGAGAAAGGCAGGCAGGTGGCTAGGTGAGTGGAAAGGGGCTTACCTTGTTTCCGGTGCTGAATAGTAATGACCTGTCTAAAGTTACCAGATTTAGCAAACAAAAATATGGGACTTTCAATTAAATTTGACTTTCAGCTAAACAATGAATTTTTTGTAAATATAACTATGTCCCATTCCATGAAATATGTGGGTCAAGTTAATACTCAAAAATTGTTGTTCATCTTATAAAAACCATGTGCTAACTGCTTGCCCAACTGGAGCTTCTATTTGTTGTTTATCTTTAAATTCAGTTTTAACTGAGCTTTTACATTTTATCAGACATCCCTAGGCTTGTCCCACTGTGGTCCCAGTGGACATTCTCAAGTCCATCCCTGAAACAGAGCCAGGATCTTGACAACAGAAAGGAGCCTGTCTAAGGTTACCAGATTTAGCAAACAAAAATATGGGACTTTTAATTACATTTGCCAGTATAGGCCTGACAGGTCTCCCTGATAACAGAGATAAGATCATACTTGAGATTAGATCTTACCAGAGATTGCTGAAATCTTCCTAGGAGAGGATTTCAAGCAAGAGATTTCAAAGTATAGCAAGGTTTATTAAAAAAGAAAGAAGGAGGGTTGCTGTTGTGGCTGAGCGGTAGAGCACTTGCCTAGCATGCTCGAGGCCCTGGGTTCAATCCTCAGCACCACATATAAATAGAGGTATTGTGTGCAACTAAAATATAAACAAATATTAAAAAAGAGAGAGTGATAAAGAAGATGGCAATGGAAAGGGAGGGGGAGAGAGGGTGTGCGCACCAAAGGAGTGAACAGGCCCCTCAGAGACAACTCACTTCTTTGTGTCTCAGTTTTTACTGCAGTTGGAGGGAAATTGTTATAAGGTCCCACTCAAGTATCACCTCTGGGCTCTGGATGGGCAGACTACATTGCTAAGAACCAAAGGGCAACTCTCGATCATCTTGGCCTGGCTGACAGGTCCTAATTGAAACTGGTTTTTCAGAATTTATGGTCAGTGGGCTCCAGTCTTAATCATTGTGCTTTCCTAGGTCTGAGATTCTGGTCTGTGTTGTTTGCATAGGGTCTTGTTTTTTAGTGTTTATGCCACTCTGAGCAAACATATCCCGTCCTTTGCTTCTTACCCCCTGAATTTATCCATCTTCCTCCTGTTGTAAGAGGAATAGTTTGTAGGGCTGAGATCAGGCAAGGGTCTGAAACAGCTATCTTGTCTGACCTTGAGGTGCCCCTGAGGCAGGATTGTTGATGAACTGATTTGCTCTATGGTAAGTATTTTCTTAAACTCCTGACCCACTGCTTATATCTAACTGCTTCCTAACAGTCTGTCTCCCTAACCCTGCCATTCCCCTTGCACAAAATTCTAGATCTGACACCAGGGATCCTAAGGCAAACTAAGCCCAGGATGCTTGGCCAATTGCTCTGTATCCCTCCCCACTAGCACACACAGCCATCCACTGACAACTCTTATCCAGGTGGAGGTGGTCAGGGAGAGGCTTGTGGGGCTGGGCTTAAAGAATGCTTGGGAGGAGGCTGGGGTTGTGGTTCAGTGGTAGAGCGCTTGCCTCATACGTGTGAGGCACTGGGTTCGATCTTCAGCACCACATAAAAATAAATAAAGTAAAGGTATTGTGTCCATCTACAACTAAAAAATTTTAAAAAAGAATGCTTGGGAGGGGCTCAGGTATAGCTCAGGGCAGAGTGTTTGCCCAGCATGTGCAAGGCCCTGGCTTTGATTCTTAGTAGTGCAAAAAAAGAATTCTTGGGAGAAAATGCCCCTCTATTCTGGGAATCCCAAGTAACTTCCTTGCAGGCCTGGTGTTTGAATACAGGGTGATACAGGAGCTGGGAGGCCAAGGCCGGGTTCTTAGGGCTTTGGATATTAGGCCAAAGTGCTTTTTGTACTTTACACTAAGCAGTGGGGAATTGTAGAAGGGAATTTTTTTCTTTTTTCTGGGAGTGCCAGGGGTTGAACTAGGGGTGCTTTACCACTGAGCCATCCCAGCCTTTTTTATGTTTTATTTTGAAACAGGGTCTCAGTGAGTTGCTTAAGGCCTTGCTAAATTGATGAGGGTGGCTTTGGGTTTTTTTGTTTTGTTTTGTTTTGTTTGTTTTCTTGGTACCAGGGATTGAACCCAGGGGTGCTTAAACACTGAGCCATATCTCCAGCCTTTTTTATATTTTATTTAGAGACAGGGTCTTGCTGAGTTGCTTTAGGGCCTAACTAAGTTCTGAGGCTAGCTTTGAACTTGAGTCCTCCTGCCTCAGCCTCTGAGCTGCCAGGATTACAGTCATGTGCCACCATACTGGACTGAGGGGATACTTTTAAATGGTAAATTTGTTGGTTTGGGTAAACAAGTAAATCAAGAGAGGGCAGTGTTCTCTAAGTGGAACCTGAAAGTCCCCAAGATACTTCGAGGAGATCTGCAATGTCAAAACTGTTTTCATAGTAATACGGAGACCCTATATGCCCTTCTCACTTGACTGATGGCTCTAAAGTAATAGTGAATGTGTTATCACTTTAGCACAAGTTAAGACAGTAGCACCTGAAGGGGGTCAAAATAAGCCAATTGGCATGAGGATTATTTCCAGCTGAAGGCAATGAACAACCAACTGCTACAGGAAGAGTTCTCTGCCCTCTTATATGTCAAAATACCAGGCATAAATTTCCCTCTGTGAAGATGTTTGTCCCTGTACCAGAAAGGGAAAAGCTTCTCCCCACAGGGATGGAGAGCAGGCAGTGAGATGAGTTTGCATAAACAGTCCTTAGTAAAATAGCCCTTATCTTCCATTGGGTCCCCCATAGATGTCCTGGTCACTTCCCACAAATTATCACCCTTGTAGCCCAAACTCTCTTTCCTTTGTCTCAGTGGTATAAGTCCCCAAGTCCAGTCACTTCATAGAGTCTCAGTTCTGTTCTGTGAATGCCCATGCACATAAATATTAATGAAGCTGTGTTCCCCTGTTAATTTGTCTTTTATTAGTTTTATTTGCAGGTCTTCATTAATGACCCTAAGTGGGTAATGAAAGTCTTTCCTCCCTGACACCAAATTGTACTAGTAATCTCTAGTACTTTTCTATTTTTCATTTCTTTTTTTGGGGGGTGGGTGGGGTGGGGTGGGAGAACCTAGGGGCACTTAACTACTGAGCCACACCCCAGCCTCCCCCTTTTAAAAATAAGGTGACTTTTTTTAATATTTATTTTTTAGTTGTAGTTGGACACAATATCTTTATTTTATTTATTTTTATGTGGTGCTGAGGATCGAACCCAGGGTCTCACACATGCTAGGCAAGTGCTCTGCCACTGAGCCACAACTCCAGCACCACCACCCCAGCCCTTTTTAATATTTTATTTTGAGACAGGGTCTTGCTAAGTTGCTTAGGGCGTCACTAAGTTGCTGAGGCTGGCCTTGAACTTGCAATCATCCTGCTTCAGTCTCCTGAGTTGCTGGAATTATATGCATGCTCTGTGCCAAGTACTAGTACTTTTCATTGCCATGTGTTTGCAATTTTTAGAAAAGTTTAGTTTATGAATGACCTTGACAGAGCAGTAAAAAGTATCAATTTTATTAACTCTTAACCTATAAGATGTATACACCTTTGTTATTTTAATATTTTGAGTGACAAAAGGAGAAGTATGCACTTCTGTTTACCAAAGGAGGATGGTGGGCTCCAGGAAAAGTGCCTCTGTGATTGGCTGAGATGTCACCTGAACTGTCTGCTTTTTTCTTTTCTTTTGGTACCAAATATGGTGCTTTACCACTGAGCTATGTCCCCAGCCCTTTTCATTTTTTATTTTCAGATGGGGCCTTGCTAAGTTGCTGAGGCTGGCTTTGAACTCACAGTCCTCTTGTATCAGTCTCCTGAGCCATTGGGATTACAGACATGTACCACTACACCCAGTGTATGGCTGCTTTTTTAAAAAATATTTTTTAGTTTTAGGTGGACACAATATCTTTATTTTTATGTGGTGCTGAGAATCGAACCCAGTGCCTTATGCATGCTAGGCCAGCGCGCTACCACTTGAGCCACATCCCCAGCCCTATGGCTGCTTTTTTGAAAGAATACCATTATCATTTTTATCTGAAAGACTGACAAAATATGGTAATTCAGATATATTTTCAGATAGTTAGCAGATATTTTCTCAACAATGAATGAAGTATGCCTGTCACTCCATGTGAAAGAACAGGTAGTACTGGGTGCCAATAACAAAAATCTGAGCTTTCAAGCAAAAGTCAAAACTTTGGAACACTGTATCCATCACTGTGAACTTGACAAGCTTCCCAATACTAAAAGACTTTGTGATTAGTAGTGATATTAACATGTGATTTTTCAATATTGTATAATGAAATGTGTCAAAATTTGTAAGATTTGCACAAATGTATCATGTTATAAAATCATGCACACATAAAAGATTCATACAAAGTATAGACAGATAATTGTTTTGTGGTTGTTTTGTTTGATCAAACCCAGGGCCTCAAACATGCTAGGCAAGCTCTCTACTATTGAAGTACATCTACAGTCCCAAGATGATAGTTGGTTTTGTTGTTGTTGTTGTTTTTATTTTTTTAAGTATTTTTTAGTTGTAGTTGACACAATACCTTTATTTTATTTTATGTGGTGCTGAGGATTGAACCCAGGTCCTTGCACCTGCTAGGCAAGCACTTACCACTTAGCCACAACCCCAGCCCCCCAAGATGATAGGTTTTAATGTCAGATAATATAAATGTCATTGGTTTCCTTTTATTTTAATTTTAGTTTAGTTTTTGCAGTAATGGGGATTGAACTCAGAGGTACTTGACCACTGAGCTCCATCTCCAGCCCTTTTTATGTTTTATTTTGAGACAGGGTTTTGCTGCATTGCCCAGGCTGGCCTTGAACTTGGGATCCTTCTGCCTCAGCCTCCCCAGCATGCACATGTGCCAATTATATAAATATAATGTAATCTATTAAACCATTACTCTATTGGTGAACATTTCAGCTTTTTTGATTTCTTTTAACTAATTCAAACAATGATGCAATGGGCATCCTTGGAAAAATTATAAGCAGGTAAGTGATATCTTCATATCTGTCTGTTCAAAAGGTCTCTCTGAACATGTGAACTGCTGCAATCCAAAGAAGATCTGTGGGTTGGATCAATGTCAATTTCCTGGTTGTGGATATTGTACTATTGAAAGATTTTGCCACTAGAGAAAACAAGAGGGAAACCAGGTGAAGGGTACACAGGGTCTCTCTATATTCCCCTTCCTTCCTTCCTTCCTTCCTTCCTTCCTTCCTTCCTTCCTTCCTTCCTTCCTTCCTTCCTTCCTTCCCTCCTTCCCTCCTTCCTTCCCTCTTTCTCTTTCTTTCATGAAGTACTACTGATTAAACCCAGGAAATTGAACCCAGGGGCACTCTTCCAATAAACTACATCCCCAGCACCCCCTCACTTTTTTCAATTTTATTTTGAGACAGGGACTTGCTAAGTTTCTGAGGCTAGCCTCAAACTTGTGATCCTCCTGCCTCAGCCTCCCAAGTCACTTTGGTACGGATGTGTACCAAAGTTCCAGGTTTATACTTTCTTTCTTTTTTTTTCTAGTTTGTGTAACTGCAAGTGAATCTATAATTATTCCAACACAAAAAGCTTAATTAAAAAAATTGACTCCCAGTAAGAAGTTATTATCAAAATAACAAGTGTTGGTGAGGAAGTGGAGAAATTGGACCGTTTCTACACTGTTGATGAGAATGTAAAATGGTGCAGCCACTATAAGAAACAATGTGGCTGTTCCCCAAAAATTAAATATAGAGGTGGGCTGGATGGTGCACATCTGTAATCCCAGCCACTTGGGAGGCTGAGGAAGGAGGATCACAAGTTGGAGGCCAGCCTCAGCAACTTAGTGACACCCTGTCTCAAGATAAAAAAATAAAAATGGCTGAGGATATAGGTCAGAAAAATAGTGGCCCTAAGATCAAGCTCCTTCGCTGAGGGGAGAAAAACCATAAATACAGAATAATCATATGATCCAGCAATACCACTTCTGGATACATAATCCAAAAGAACTGAAAGCAAGACTTGAAGAGATATTTGCACACCATGTTCACAGCAGCACTCTTTGTGATGGCCAAGACCAGAAAGTAATGCAGGTGCCCATCAAGGGATAAATGGATAAGTAAATGCAACATGCACACACAATAGAATATTGCTCAGCCTTAGAAAGGAAGGAAATTCGGACACATGGCACAACATGGACATTTACTAAGTGAAATAAGCCAGTCACAAAGACAAATACAATATATACGTGTGTGTGCTGTGTGTGTAGACATTAAAATAAAAACGTGTTTTTAGAAAAATGGCTTTAAACAAACAAATAAAAACCCAAAAAGACAAATGTTATGGTTCCATTCATATCTAAAGTAAATCCATGGAAACAGAACATAGAATAGTGGTTGCCAGGGCTGGAGGAAGTGGGAGATGGGGAGTTGTTAAACAGGTATCAAGTTTCACTTATGCAATATGTAAAAGTTCCGGAGATCTGTTGCACAATGATGTGAATATACTTGACACTACTGAACTGTATCCTTAGAAATGGTTAATTGGATAAACTTTGGCTGGGGACGTAGCTCAATGTTAGGGCACTCACCTAGTATGCATGAGGACTTGAGTTTAATCCCCAGACCCTCAAAAAAATTAAAATAAGAAATAAAGGGGCTGGGATTGTGGCTCAGCAGTAGAGCGCTCGCCTACCACCGGTGGGACCTGGGTTCGATCCTCAGCACCACATAAAAATAAAGGCATTGTGTTGTGTCCATCTACACCTAAAAAATAAATATTTTTAAAAAAATAATAAATAAAAAGATAAATTTTATGTTGTATATATTAAAACACACATACACATATATGAAACTGGAGGAAAGCTAGCTGAGAGAGAGGGAAGGTCATCATGGTCACAGTGAGATTTGGAGGGAGCAGACCAGAGATAGGGAGGTCCCCTAGCAGGATGCTCCTGTCGTCCTGGCAAAAAATGCTGAGACTCAATCAAGGCAGTGGCATGGGTCTGAAAAGGTTGCTATACAGTTATTGGTTTAAATCTTTGCTCCCCAGCGATAGAATTATCCACCCACTCCCTTATCAGGGTGGGTGGACCAAATTTTTCCACCTTTTGACTTTGCACTTAGCCATGTGACTTGTTTTGGCCTGTAGGAAATTCATGAGGTTTTGAAATGTGGTTGATCAGTCAGTTGAGCCCTCACACCCAGCAGCAGCCTGCCAGAGTGAGAACAGGCTGCAGACACTGCTGCCCCTTTAGTCTGCGTCAAGGAATGAGACTTCAGGAACAGGCCATATGTCCTGCCCAGAGACAGGGGCATTGGAAAACTTTATTACAGAAAATCTCAGGCATAAACAAAAATGGAGAATAATACAATGAATCTCTGAGTACCTGTGTGTCACATGATCAGCCTTATTTATCTCTGTGTCACCCACTCGTCCCTCAACCCTTGGGTTATTTTGAAGCAAACTCAAGCTTCCTAGGGGTGATGTGCTTCCATGGGGGACATGTAATTTTTGATCGTGTCTCTTTTTGCGACATTTGCAGCTATTGCTTAGCTTCAGAAAGGGTTGCAAAATAATATTTAGCTGCATTCTCTCTCTCTCTCTCTCTCTCTCTCTCTCTCTCTCTCTCTCTCTCTCTCTCTCTCTCTCTCCTTTGGCGGTACTGGGGATTGAACCCAAGGTATTCTACCACTGAGCAACATTCCCAGCTATATCTTTTGCTAGCCTGCATACTTCTGCAAAGTGAAACTTTTCCTCATAATTAGTTACCCTGATAAAAGAATGAGTACTTAATGCTTTCCCTTACTTACCTGTTGCTTACTCCTGAGATGACAAGTGAGTTATTCCTTTAAATGTATATGAACTAGTGGATTTAAACCTGTTTGATGGGTGTCAATCTATTGCAGTTATTAATTTTGCTAATGTTCAAATAATTCTGCCTTTAGCTGGTGAAATTGTTTCCTGTGTCCTTTTGACACGTCCTCTCAGTGTTTCTTGGCATCCTGTTTCATGGTATAACAGGATATCTAGGACTCATTCACTATATTTCCTTATCCACATTCTGAAGTCATTTTTGCACCATGAGTGCTTGGTGATTGATGGCAGTTCATCGGTAGTGGGAAAAATGTTGACTTCCTGTTTGAGTCTTGCAAAACCACACAGATCATGATGTCACTTGCAGATTAGGGATTTTCAATGAGGCCCAGGTGCCTGGAGAAGATTCTGCCTGGTGTCTCTGCAGCTCCACTTGCCCTTGCCCCCTTGTTCTGTACACTTTTATCAACACATCCTGGGTAAAATGCAGGTCTGTGGGGCCATAAGAGAAGTTCTCTGGCTTCTGAGAGCTTCTGAGGTGGACAGATGAGTTCCTCCTCCTGAAATGATAAGAGCATGGCGGGGGAAAAAACTTGGAGGGTACCAGGCGTGGGCAGACAATTTTGGCCATTCTACAGGGCCTTGGGGACTTTAGTAGTGCAGCCCCAGCACACAGGAAGGGTAATCAACATTGCTGCTGGTAGCCATGGGTATCTAAAGACAATGACACTACCAAGGACCCAGCCAACCTCAAGCTTTCGTACAGTTTAAGGCACAAGTTAGCAGAATCATGGAGTCACTTTCCTCCCTCTGTGCCTCTGCATGAGAAAATGCCTGTCTTCTGCAAACATGGATGTGGCCCAGATGAGGAATGTATGTCTTTTATTTATTTATTTAGTATTTTTAAATTTTATTATTTATTTATTTTGTTTTTACAGTACTGTGACTCAAACCCAGGACCTCTTGCCTGCTAGGCAAGTACTCTACCACTGAGCTACATCCCTAGTCCATGTGTGTCCTCTTGCTGCAGGCTGCTCAGCCTGTGAATGCAATCCCTAGAGCCCCACATACACACATACTTGGGCACTTGCTCATGGAAAGCACAGTGCATGGGCTCAAATAAATAAGCACATTTACATATGCAGTGACACACAGCAGACACCTAACCCAGGCACACAGAGCTAACAGAAGAGAAGATTTCGCCCTGCATTGAGCAGAGAAGACCTGTGTTGAATCTGGGTTCTTTCACTAGGCCACCCGTCTCAGTTCACTAATCTATTAAACAAGATATTGGCCTTGATGTTCCTCTGCCTCCAGGATCCTTGCCCATGCTGATAATAGGTGCACATACTCAATCGTCCTGCAAAAGGACTATGCCAGCTATGCCCTAGTTCCCCCAGAGTCTTGGAGAGACCTCTTCCCAGCCTCCCCATCCCCCACATTTTAACCAAAAGAAGCCCTATATTTTCTGGATGCCCTTAGACTACAACTTGCTTTTTACCTACAGCACTCAAGGCTTGTGGCTCAGTGGTAGAGCACTTGCCTAGCATGTGTGAGGCACTGAGTTCGATTCTCAGTACCACATATAGATGAATAAAATAAAGATAAATCAACAACTAAAAATATATATTAACTTTTTTTTTTTTTTTTTTTTTTTTTAGGGCTAGGGATATAGCTCAGTTGGAAGAATGCTTGCCTTGCATGCACAGGCCCTGGGTTCAATACCCAGCACCACCAACACACACACACAAAAAAAAAAAAAAAAAATTAAAAAGAGTGAAATGCCCACTGAGTGGCCCCCAGGCTGGGACATGGGGGCAGATAGCTCTGACTTGGTAACCTGCGACTAGGTCTGGGTTTCTACTCACTTCTACAAAGTACCAGCAGAGACAGTCACCAACTCTGTAAAGATAAAGGAGAAGAGAGGGCTTTTCCGAAGAAAAGCATACTACCCAGTGAAAGTAGGGAAGGTCTGGAATAAATCCTGGCTGAACAATTTACATGCTTTGTGGCCTTGGTCAACCTCCCTAGGGCAAAGTTTCCTCATCTGTAAAGTGGGAACCAGAGTGACTATCCTGTGACGATCCTGAGGACTCACTGAGATAGTGACCATGAAAAATACAGCAA